CCAAGCCCCGTTCGACGACCACGGCGATGCTGATGAGATGGCTCAACGCATTCTGAATGGAGATCTCACCCTCGAGTTCTCGCCCGCGTGCCCGCGGTGGGTGCACGACATGGCCGTGCAGTGCATGAGCGAGCACCCGGAATTGAGGCCAAAGGCCCACGATCTCGTTCACAGTCAGATGATTCAAGAATCACCGAAAAGTGTTAACATTTGCATGCATGCATCACCGCATCTTACCGATGCAAACGCCCATGAACTCTCGACGGCTACATGCTCCCAGTTACGCAATGGATAGTCTTCAACTAGTTGTGGCATTGCTATTGCAAGAAGATGCCATGCAGGGGCCTGCTGAGTGTTCGCCCGGTTCCAGCTCCAAGCTTGTTGTACTCACATAGCATTTGCAGTGTGCCAGGAAATTGCCCGTACAACGGTACCTCCACGTATTGACTCGACGATGCGATGAAGTGTTGGCCAGTAGGTCGATTACTGTAGTCGCGTGGGGATTGGACGTGCTAATGTGATGTGCGGTCATCGTTGGGGTAGACAGGTTGAGGGAATGGCTGGTCGATGGGTGGGTCGGCTGTTCCAATTTACGATGAGGAACCTCTCACGACCTTACGGTGGTGGAGGATGGCGAGCGCCAGATCCGTGATCCAGTTATCCATGGTGCATTCATCACGTATCGGCGAGGTGTTTGTGCATTAGTTCCTATCCCCTTGCGGAATCGAATGTCATCCTGCTACGATGCGGCATGGTGATGCAGCTACAGGAAATCGCCGTGTGGCTCGTTGAAGCACCCCGTGGGCATGAGAAAGGTCTCTGCAGCTTGCCAGCGAGATTGGCCAGTGGTCACGTTTATTGAGGTCGAAATTACTGAAGGCCATGGTGTGGTCCCCATCGTCTTGGAGGAATGCGTCCAACTTGATGTGAATATATATTCGCTTTCATGAGTACGACGGCTTGGTCTGAGTAGCTGGCAGGCAAACAAACACCCGCGCGCGAACACCACGGCGAAACAGCAATCGCATCCCTCAGGATCGCGTCGACGTGGTTCCAAAATACTTGCATCGTTCGCCCTAGTGTGATTCAGCTCGATTATTCCGGTATTTCGTCGCGGTCACGGATGGAGAGAGCCGCTAAAGCCGGGGTGGAGGCTCCATGGTGGGCCTTGACAAACGTTGTTTCCTCCTCCATGTGGTATGCAGATCCCTCTTGCTACGCTTCCGGCATGCCTACTTTCGTGATTCTCTGGTAGTCCTGCGCTCGGAAGTTGGACTGCGTACAATGTCTTCCTGGAAGATGTTGTTGGAGCCCAAGGATGCGCTGCAGATCATTCTCGCTACGTGCAAGTGATTCAACAGGGTATACGAATGCACGTGTAGTGTATTTTGTTCACTCACGTTTGCGGAGGTGGTCCATCAAGCCATGATCCTTGCACTATCACGTGAGGCCACTGCGTTATGATAGAATGCAGAAGCCTAGAAGAGCGTGTCTGAATTGCGGTAGGCTTCCAGTATCCCCCAGTGCTGATGCATCAAGGGCCAGTGTGTGCCCTCGCGGTGCCGGTCATGGTGCCAAGTAGCGCTCGAACTGACTGCGGATGTACTAGTAGTACCCCACCAAGCATATCACATTTTGAACAGAATATATTTTTATTACTTCGGATTAGTATACCAGCAAAAAAAAGTCAATAAAGCACATGCCCTCCGATACAACCAACCACGGCGTCCTTACAGCGCTCGCCGCTTTCCTCAGAGGTGCATACTCGAGGATCGCTCTGGAACTGACTACGTTCTTGGAATGAACCGACTTATGTAGGTGATACCTCATAAACCACAGCATCGACAGCGCGACGATCGTGTGATTCCGTGCGACCTAGTGTGGCGAGTTCACGGACTTTCGGCCCAACATGGACGCACAGACGTTCGCTTGCATTCCGCTGCTGGCAGTAATAGATGGAGAACGTGCTGCAAGTGGACCCACCGAAAGTCATCGAAGCCGATCCGGGCCATAGTTTCAAGCGGCAGGAGCCACGACGATCCTGCCTAGTATTCAAGGAGGCAGCGAGATGACTACCGCGATAGCTAAAGAAATCGACATCATGGAGTCTGGAAACACCAACGCAACTAAAGCGGCCTGGCGATGTTGCGTCTTTCGTGCTGGAGGTCAGTGTTGGTCATGGTGTCCACAGCAAACGAATACGTGCCCCGAGTTGACGCACCTGGAACAACGGCATTGTTCCTGGGCAACGTGGACCTCCTCTTGGCGCAAACTCTCGACCGAGCCATCCGTCCGCCCTTGGTCGTCCCTCGTTTCTCGATGTTTGGATCCACCGAAGAGCGCTCGGCATACACGTGCTGCCACATCCTTAGAGTCTGTCGAGGATTGCTCGTGTTGCCAAGCAGGGCGTTCGTGATGTCGATTCTTCAATCCCTGCTGCTTGTCTCGAAATGCGTTGACATCTTGGGTGGACGCTCTACGAAGGTATCGGCGCAGTTCGTTTGGCTTATATATTGGCGAAGCCCATCGAAGCCGTCCCGGCTAACGTTGGGCACGACACCGATTCCGCTAGAATCGGCGAATCTGGACGAGAATTCACGCTCAAACAGGTTGGATTTGACTCTTTGCATTGTCCTGACAAAAGGTGTCGCAGATGTTCCGTGAAGCCATTATACGTACCAGCGACCTCCTGCGCTGGGGCAGCCTGTGTTCTGTACGGTCGTCGCAAAAGCGTCAAGTCTAGGGATCGACTCATGGTGAGCGACGACGGCGGGAAACTATTCGCCGACCCATTACATGAGTGTAGTAGATGTCGATATGTGCTGGAATCGTGGTCGAGTCGGCGCTCAGCAGACAGCGTTTTGTGAGTTGGTGCCCTTGGTTTATGTGGTCTATAGCCAGCGAACGCCGCGTGAAGGACATGTCTGCTACTCAAACGACAAAGAGATACGTCGCGCTGGAGCGCCTCGGCAAAACCGACCGGCCAACGCGAGTGAACAACTGCGCCGGACGTTTGCTGATATGACCCCAATCCATCCGTCCGAGCTGGTACTTCGCCCTTGAAAAACAGGCCGCTGCGAAGGCACTTCGAGAGGCGCGCGTGGTGATGCGTTTATCTCTTACGACGGTGATTGACCCAGGCATTCAACGTACCCTCCGTTGTGCCTTCGATCGGTTGAGCAGCGCTTCATCCAGTCGAGTAGAACACGGAGCCATGTCGGATCGCCGACGGCACTCGGAATCTGTCGATCCAAAAACTCCAGTCTGAACAAGATGGGCGAGCGCTGATGGCCCGTGTTCCGCAAGACGAGTGTCCTTGCTTCAGGACAGGATTCCACCTATCCCTCATATCATAGAGAAGCAGTTGGCATCGTCGAAGTTCGATCTACCCCGTGCCTGCACGACCGCCGCATGATTCACCTCAACGTCAAGTCCCGAAATGTCCTGCTCAACGCCACGTTTGGCGCGAAACTGGCCGACTTTGGGGTTGCCACAACCATCAAACAGCAGCGCGAAAGGACCGGGCAACTCGTCAGGACGTATCGTTGGATCGCCCCAGAGGTGCT